GTTTCACATATGGCACATTTGAGAAAGTAAAACTGAATCCTTACTGTCCAAAATGCACTACCCTGAGCACTAGCTTCCCCTCCTCATTGGCCCATTTCTACCAAAACCCAAGAATTATTAAACATGAAAGGAAATCCAGAGTTAATCCAAGAACTCTGCACAGCCCCACTCTGGCTGTGCTCCAAGGCGGCCAGTTTCTGAAGCCTAAACCACCCATCATGAGCCAATGGGCACTTTGTCCCCCAGAGCAGTAGCTGGTGCCACATGGAAGGTATTCTGCCTAAATTAACTCTCCCCTTAAAACCTGAGCAAACATTTTCAGCTTGAGACTTAATATCCCTGGACATGCCTGCTGTCTCCCAGGTGAATCCCCAGATAAACAAGGTCAGCTCAACCCTAATTTGGCTGTAAAAAGCTGTCAGTCAGCCCAGGAGGTCTGGTTACAAGGTCAAACAAGTTCTGAGGGTTGCTGGGGCCAAACCTGGCCTGTCATTCATTTTAAGTGCAGGAAGGTTTGTTTTCTCATCACAATGTCAGGTATCCCAAATTCAGGATTAGTTGTCAGCCACCACAACATTGTCTTTAAAAAAAGTAAAAAATAAACATGTGCATGCACACATCCCTGGCTCTAAATAATTCCACGTGCTGCTTAGCCTGCTTGCAGCTGGCAGATGAAAAGCAGCCTGTCCTTCAAGAAAGAAAGAAAAGGGGTATTTTCCCACATTATGTGACAGTTCCCAGCACAAAAGAACCCACCAGAGCACATAGTAGCTTCCTTCAGTCAAAACACAGTTTTCAATCATGATATCCCTACCAGAATAATCCACTGCTGAAAAGCCATTTTGTCCAGCAGGAAGGTAACAAGGCAGGGCACCCTTCACCAGGGCACCCTTCACCTCAAGGTTGTGAGCAGGATTTTGTAGCACAGGATGAATCCTTGGTGCTATGAATGAAACAGGGCATCCTTTCCAATTCCATGAGCCCTGCATGTTGCTACCGCTACACATCAGCCAGCTGGCAGATGCAGGAAGGATTGGCAGGATTACATGGGCCAAAGGAACCAAAGCCAACATGAAAGGCTCCAAAGTCCAGCAGAACTGCACTGGAGACCCACTTTTAACAGAAGAGCCAAGAGGATAGGACAGGATGGTCCCACTCTGCTACTTAACCAGAGAAACGGTTTGCCTCTCTCCCCAAAGCAGCTCTGACAACTAGAAGCTCTAGGAAGTGGGAATGAAGCTGATGACCCAAGGGCACCCAGGCAGCCTTTGCTCTGCTCTGGCAGTACCAGTGACACATCAGATAGTACAGTGAGCAAATCTTTGGGTAGTCACTGGATGCGAGTAATACTAATTACATTCTTCTCTTTATGACATTGTTAACCACAACACTATTTAAGGCAGCAGCAGTCTCTTTGGGTTGGATAGTGCAGAAATAAATGCACAAGGAGAGAGGTGGAAATGGGACTCAGGGCAGTTCATCCTTTTCCAAAAAAAAAAAAAAAATCAGTCAAGATCCACAATTACAATTCACTTGAGTTTGTCTCCCACTAGCTCCTGTGTTAGCTGGTTCATACTTGAAGCATAAATCAGTTACTTTTTTGGGGAGGTAGGGAGTAGCAACATTGGTCTTAAATCTCTCTCCCCTTCTCTTGGTGCTCAGCCTTTCCAAGGCATTTTTGGGCAACTTGTATAAACCCTTTGATTAACAAGGCTGGGGAAGGCAAGTGCTTTAAGCATCTGCTGTACGTTCTGTCTCTTCCTCAGTCATCCTAAAAACCTGTCGCTAGGCATAAAAATTGGACCTGTGCTTCCATGTTTGCCTGGAAAGCATCTAGACTGCTTTCAGGCCTGACCTGTGGCACAAAGATCTAGGTCATTGCAGCTTCCAAAGTCTTCTCTTCCTGCAGACCACACAGAGACCATGGAGAGTTAGATTAGAAACAATTTCAGAAATAAAGTTACAAATAGATGAGCAGGAATCAGCCAGAGCAATCCATACAAGAAATGGCACAACATGTGCCAGGGAGGTTGTGCAGCTAAAAGGGAGGTTTTAAGTCTTTCTGTCGATAGAAAAGGATGGGGAACAAAAAGTCATTGCAGCCCCTCAAAAAGAAGAAAGATAAATAAGTTTCCCAGAGGAGGAATTATTAGGCTATACGCAAAAAAAAAAAGAGATAAGCCTGAAGAAACTTGTGCCAGAAATGCCTAAGGTGAAGCAGGCTGATGACAGATGGCTGCAACCTTCCACTGCAGCAAGGCTGTAGCAAAGAGCTCAAGGGCTGTTCTCACCCAAACATCCAGAGTTCTCACTCACCAGGGAGACATTGGGGGTTGTCACAGTCCTCTACCCTGTGTCATCCTTGCCTTGCTCCCATCACCTACGGAGAATATCAAAGCAGGTGAGCTTGGTGCACAAGTGCAGAGATCTCTGCCAACCTCCTGCCCTGCCAGAAGGACATGGCATGAAGCAGCCTTGCTGGTACCATGAATCCCACACTGCTCCCTAGCCAAGGTGTCCAAAGAAAAGGCAACCACCTTCTCTCCAGGGCACACAGCTTTGTTATGGAAGGCTGCCAGAAGAGCCTCTTCACACACAAGGCATCTCAGACTTTGTTAGAAAGTGGCCATTTCAGATGCAATGACCACACAACTAAGAGCCTGGGTCATTGGATTCATTTACGGAAAGAGATCATCCAAAAGCAGGGGAATATTCACATGCTCATTCTCATTTAAAGAGAGAAACTTCATTTCAGGTCTCATTCCAAGACCTGCCTTACAAGGTAAGTTGCCACTCCAGCTGCCCACAGCTCCATGCTAGAGTTCACTGCTGCCCCCCACCAAGGGAGTTTTGTTCCTATCTGCTTTAACTTGCACTATTTTGGTTATCCAGCTAAACGTGCAGCCTTACAAAAGGATTACAGCTGCGCAGTATAGATGGTCAATTGTGGCACAGCTGGAAGAGTAATGAGGCTGGGAATACTTTTGTTTTGGTCCAAGGCAAGAAATCATCTATATACCTAAGTCAAGATGACACCACCTGCAGTCCAGTCAGGAGCAAACTTTCCATGTGATATCTCATGATAAAAAAAAAGAATGAAATAAATAGGAAAAAAAGCTACAGAATGCCAAGTGCAACAACTCGTTGCATGCAGAGCTCCATCTTTTCCCTAGAAAACTTTCTCCTCCATCCTGTCCCTCACAGGAACATCCCACAGCCAGTTAAAAACATCCCAAACTGTTTTTCTTGCTGTTGAGTTCTCAAGTTGGTCACCTCAAGAAAAAAAGATTGTACTTGATCCTTGACTTTTTTTTTTCAAATTTTACTTTGTTTCAGTATCTCTAACATTGTGTATTTCAAAAGATGAATCATTCTCTAAAACTCTGCTTTTCAATAGCTGAATCATTCATCTTTTTCCTATCTGTCCAGGACTTCATCTGGACACAACATTTATCTTCCTGGTCTCAAAGCCAAGGAGCAATCAGACATTTCTTTTGCTCCCACAAGACTTTCACAGCATTTTCTGGCACTTCCCTAATGAGGCTGTGAATGTGTTCAGGCACTGAGCTTTTCTCACTTTGCAGCTCTGCATGAAACACCTGATACTCAATTTCTTCCCAAAATAAATGCTTCAAAAAGAAAAAAAAGGGGAAAAATAAAACAAGCTGAATTGGTTACATGCTTGCCTCCACGTCCATGGATTTGGCAGCAGTAAGCTGTCACATGCTCTTTGTCCCTGGACATCCTCACTCATTCCTCCAGCAACTTAGAGGTAGACAGAGTTTCATCATCACCTGCGCATTTCAGCTGGAACAAAACTCACACTCTGGCAAAGGCAACAGAGCTGGTCCTCATCTACTAATATCAGAGAAGTTTGGACAAAGCTTGGCTCCTTCTACACACTCCCAGCCTTCAGGAGATGTCTCCATCCCAGAGTGCAGCACGATAGATGTGTTTGCCACCAGCAGCAAACACAGCACATGGCGCAACACAAACACGCTCACAGTTTAGAGAGGACGTCCCCCACCTCTCCTCCTGCCTCCGCCTGCTTAAGTTCAGAGATGGACAACAACTATTAAACACAGACGTAAATGTTAGTAGATTGATTCTAATAGGAAACAAAAATGTTTTGAGCAAAGCTAATTGCCGGGAAATAAGGTCGTTCCAAGATTTCAGTGGGGGCTTATAAATCTCTTGGTTCCTGCCTTCTTCCAGCATTGAAGTTTTACAGATGCGGATTGCAGATGCTTGTTTCCACTTTTCATTTAAAAGGGCATAAATACTTGCAGTAAGTTGAAGGGTGAATTTTCTTAAATTTTAATTTTCTTAAACACTTAAATCTTGTTTTATAACAAGAAAATCTGTATGGTGACTCCTAGAAATCCCACAACTGTACAAAAATCCAATCTGCTAGCAAGTGATAAACACACTTTCAGTTGGTTGCACTGACCACCAAAATGCTTCTTTGAGCCCTTCTTTCTCTCATCCTTTTCTCCCACTAGATCTTCACAGCACATGAAGGCTCCTGGCAAAATCCAGAACCAGCCTCATCATCCCTGCATTAGGCAGGCAGGGAGAAACCACAAAGCGAGCATCTCTCTGCAAGATCTATACAGAAACCCAGATTCAGCCTCTGGAGAGGGCAGGAAGACGACAAGGCAAGACTATTTAGTACAAGGGGAAGGCCAGGGTCTATGATATCCAGCTATCCAAACCCAAGCCAGGCACCAGGGAAACAAGAACCTGGACTAGAGTAGACCTCAGTTGTCCATGTCCACTACTACCACCCCAAAAGCAAGGCTGACTTAAATCCCAGGGAGGACATGTACACAGAAGCACACCGATTTACTTGGCTTTAACTTAACAAGCTAGTTTGTCATTCATGGCAGCCACTGTCACACTCCGTTGTATGGTAATGACCTTTTTCCCAACTTTCTTCTAACTTTCTTACTTTTAGCTGCTTAACATTGCCCAAAGGTGGTCTACAACCACCACGTAACTCATCAGTACCTCACCCAAGGTGCCACGGTGACTCCAAACACACCATAACACACAAACGATCCAGGACTTCTCACAAGGGAAGTCTGGACTGCCTTATTTTGCAGATCTGCAGTAGCTCTTTTCCTGCTGAGATGCCTGGAGCCAGCTCTGTCTGAAGACCATAGGTCTGTTCCAGATTTGTCCTCATTTCCTCAAGGGTCACTGCTGAGCTGTCTCTCATCCTCCTCTTGGCACCCTCTTATACTTTGAACAGCAATAAAACTCCTCAAACAAGGACAGCACCCCCTGTACCTCCTTCACAGGTGCAGAGGAGCTGTACCACTCCTCCAACCACAGCGTGGTTTTGCCGGGGACTTTAATTTCCACCAGATCTACATAGCATCCCCTCAAAAATATATATAAAAGCATTTACGTGTGTATATATAAATATTTATGTATAAACAAAGCAGGAATAATGAGATGGAACCAGACAGCTGATAGCCAATAACTCCATCTTTTATTTGGGCAGAGACATGCATCCCTCAGAAATCTGGTGGCCACTGCATATGAAGATGCACAGCTGGGTTAGATCTCCTAATCTGCATACATTGGGGACTACTTTGCAGGACTCACAGGTGGAGACAATTTCAGGCAGTTGGGCCCAAGACCAACACCACACATTTGGAGAAGACCACAGGGAGCCAAGTTCCACTTCTGGCATCCCCAAGCAGCACTGCAAGCAATCCTCAGGAAACACAAGAGCTGAGCAGGCCTCTCAGCCACATGCCACCACCTTTGGCTGGTGGCCCTTGGCCACAGGAGCCTCACAGCTGCCAGGTGCACACACCAAGATGCCCATTTCAGTAAAACTCATCAGACCAGCTATAAATACGAGCCCTGACTTCGCATTCCCCAGCAGCTCACCGCCTTCTTCCACCAGATGTGCCAAGACAAGCTGATGTGAAGCTCCCTAATCTGCACTTTGTTGCTCTCCTGGGGCCATTGAAAGCCCAGATTAGATTTTACAACTGCCTCAAATGCACACACAACCAAGATAAACTAGGACCACAAGCAACTGCAGAATGATTTAGGAGGCTGGGCCCTTGAAGTTGCCAGTTATTTGTCTAGCAAATTTATCAGTTATCATCTGGCTGATGATTCAGACAAACAGCTTTACTGGCCAAGCATTAGGAGAAACATGTGGAACTAATCAGGCTGCATTAAAAAAAGATCAAATTAACATAAAATAAATTAAACTACACACACAAAACCAAACCTGATTTTTCTTTCCAAATGGACACCATATTTAAGATGCTTGATTTGTTTATATATTAATTTTTGCCTTTAAAGCATCTTGCAGAAATTACTTTCTGTATTAACAACAATCAATCTGTTTGCAATGAAAGGTGATAAGTGTTTACTCAGGCTCACTATTTATGATATTGCAATTTAAAAACAAGAATGTCATAGAAATACTAATAAACCAACTCCTTTTTTTTTGCTATTACCCTAAAATACAGCAATTAGTGTACAAATACATATTGATGAACACATTTTCCTTTAGCAGGTGTTGCAAGTTTGGGGCCCATTAAAGAGGAAAGGCAAGATGGTTTATTAAAGGAACATGTTTGTTACCTAGCAGATCTGGAATCCCTCTTATGCCACAGAACACCTTGATATGCTCCAAAAAAGTCACTTCAACTTATCAGATCCACACTTCCCACCATACTGAAGTTTCATGCTTAACCTTGTGATATTTGGGACATGTTTACCTACTTCAGTCCAAGCAGTTCCACGGTTATGTCTTCCATCAGAGAGCAACAAGGGACCAATTGCCACCGGTGGCACCATCATCCAACCTGCAGCAATATGATACAGAGGGGTGACCTCGGCCAACAGCTCCTCACACCCATGGGACAAGGGGGACCCACGGACATCCCAGGTGCCCATCACTCCTGTTGAGAGAAACAACAGGCAAAAACAACAGCCCCCATTTCAGTGCAGCCTTTCCTCCCACAGCCCCAAAGGGCACTGGCAACCTGTCCTTCCCCCTTGCTTCAGCTGCCAGTCACAGTTAGGCGGACACCTTATTTTAAGCATATATCCCATTTGCCTCCATGCACATGCTGCACACAATCCCATCCTCAAATACACAGGTACCTACAGCCAGGATCACAAATTTCCCAGGGAATGGAGGCATCTTTTCCCATGCAGGAGCAGCACGGACAGCAGGGCAGGCAGCCACCAGGTCCCCACACACAGAGAGCTTGCCACCGGATTGCTAAACAGCACCACATCCCTCAGCACAGGAGATTTAAACCGGTCTGCAGCAGGTGTTTGCATTTAACTTGCCATTTCTTTTTTGCCTCTGTCCTTTTTTTCCTCCTAATTTTAAACAGCTGCAATACGGGGGCCACAAGTGAAGCTCTCCCAAATATCATACAGCACTTAGGACTAGAAATTAATCCTGAAAACACTTGCAAAACTGGATGCAGAAAGAGCTGTGGGATTTTTTTCTTTAAATTAAGCTCTTAAAAAAAAAAGAAATAGAAAGAGATGACACAGAAAATTTAGCCTAATAAAAATGAAAATTAAAACAAAAAAATCCCTTCCTACTTCTCCTTGCTATTGGAGAAGCAAACAAGCTACAAAAAAAGAAAAAAGCTCCAAAAGCTTTTTTTAACCCAATTTCATGCTCTCTTAGTGCCTGGCAGAAGGCTTTCCAGTCAGACAGGCTTCGTGGCACCCAAGTCCCCTTGGGTTACACTGAGCTCTTGAGTGACTTTGCAGAGTTTAGGCAGTTATGCCAGAGCAAATGGACCAAGAGGCAGCACAATGAGGCCCTGCAGCCCAGCAAGACCTCTGTGCTGGGGAGACCCAGAGTTTGGAGCCTAGGATTCTGCTCTGCCTCCAGCAATACTAGAAAAAAAAGCCTTGCAAAACATAAGGAAGTAACTCAGCTATGTATACTTGTCATAGATTAATTTAAAAATCACTTGCAACAAGTTTCATTCACATGAAGTTGTAATAGTCACACTCTAAGTGTGACTTATTACTGAGTTCAGAAGCAGTAGTAGTAGCTTTGCCCCAGGATTTCCCCAAGCAAACGAACAGTAACAACTAAAACAAGAGACAAGTCCTCACCTCTAGTCCTTAGATACCAAAGATTCAGAACAGCATCTCCCTCTTCCAGAGGAACATCCTGGCCTCCCATTGCATTTTATGACCTGAGGAGCCAATACGAGGCCAGTGGGGAAACACAGAAACACCTGGGAGGTGCTCTCTACCTGCTGGAACCAATTACGCCAATTAGTAGCTCATTAGTGTGACCTTGCTTTTGGCCATGCATGGGGCCACCTGCAAGTTTTCATCATACCCCTTTTCTCTTCTCTGCCCTTCAGCACCTCCCATGTAACACCCTCATGTAACCTGTATGGCAATCTCCACTTGCAGCAGCACTGACCTCTCTGCTCTCCTGCGAGCCCTTTTGGCCCCATGGACTGTCAAAGTTTCATCAACACCTTAGGAGATAGAGTGGGCAGATGGAGAGACAGCCCGGGGGACCCACCAACAAAAGGGGCTTCCACACTGGCCCTCTTGCTTCTCTACCTTCATCCTTTTCTTCTCCCCAGATCTAGTTTTGTAATGGGACTATGCAGCATGATATTAAGGCAGTGATTAATTAATTGCTCATGATGGAGGAAGGACAACCAAGCTAATTAAGCATCTTAATACTCCTTGCATTTTCTCTGTCAGCTCCGGTGATGACGCTGCATACTCAGAGAGCAGCAATTTACTGTTTTCCCCATCAATGGATGTGCCATTTTTAACCAATTTTCAAAATGAGGTTTATCACCTTTTTTATACATATATTATCACCTTTTTAAATATATATTAAGGTCATTTGTACATTATCATTTTAATTAACTTCTGTTCCTATTAACTTTTAAAATGCATGCCATCTGAGACATAATTTTCTAGTTTTTTATTCTGCAGCGGCAACAGACACTAGGAGGTTGGAGGGAACTACTGAGACATGTCATTTCTCCTGGGAGTGGGTCTGGACTCTCGAACTATTTTTGCTCCTCAGACTCTGCCTGTAATTGGAATTTGATCTTGAGGCACTTTGCTTCCAATATCAACAGTTTCCCCAGAAATATGACATTTATGAGTTTCCTAGGAAAAAAAAAAAACTTAAATTTTGGGCAGTTTATTCTGCGTCCTGCCTAATCACCAAAAATAAGTTTTGTGGTAAATCACCCTCCAATCACTGAGCTGAGGCAACAGAGTCTCCCAGTGCCCTGTAAGCCTCCTTTTATAAGGGACCTTGCCCTGGTACCTGCATTGAGTGAGAAGCTAATTTGATTAGATCTGAGCCCTTGGAAGCCCTTTGGAAGCAAGGGACACTTCTCCCTTTGCCATTTGGTTGGCCTGTATTTGTGACAAGTTTCCCAGTCCCTTTTTACATTAATTTCTGTACTATTACTATTTCTGTACTATTTCTATTACTATCTGTAACAGAGGATGCAATAGGTTGCTTAAAGATGGATGGGAATGACAAACCTATTGCAATGGAATATTACATTGTAACTTACTGCATTGGAAGTGGCACAAAACATTCCTAATAATTAGGTTGACTCTGACTAGTTGCTTTCATTAGATGCAATTAAATAAACTGACAAAAAAGCATGGTATGTTCATTCTTGCCAAGATACTAATATAGCAAATCTCTCTGAACTGAAAAACAGTCCAAAAATGTTTCTTTATTGGGCTTTTTTTTTTTTTTTTAAATAGCTAACCAAACCTAAAACAACAAGGCCAGACTTTCAGATCATGTCTTTCAATACATGAGAAGTGCTCCACAGGCTACGAAGGCCACTTTTAACCTGCCTCCTGTTCTCTACGAGCCTAGCACCCCTCCTCGTGGTCGATTTAAGCAATTGCGATATGAGCAAAACCACACCGCGAGAAACTGCGGGTCTGTTTCCAAAAACAGTGAGGCTGAAAGACTGAGCCAGGCTTCCAGGTTTGGCAGGGAGCACCGTCTTTTCCAGGCTGTGAACGGCTACAAGCTACAGACATAAACAACTTTCCATCTCACTAAAAGTCAAATATAAGTATGTGTTTTAAACATAATTAAACTGGAGGGCATAGATACGTGTGACACGTTGGAACAGTTCAACTACCCAATCTCAGTGTTTGTTTAAAGGTTACTTTTGGATAAAAGCTGGTTACAGAATAAATAACAGATGCTGAAGGCAGACATTATGTATTTTTGCAATTAGCAGAAAATCTCGGTACTTTTCCTAAAGAACATACATAATTTTGTGGGATGTTTGTTGCTGGAAGCCATCTCTTCTCGCTGGCAAGAGCAGCATCCAAAAGCCCAGGGAAGTTTTACAAGAAGTCACACACAGTAAGCCAAAGGCAAGGCTTGCTTCAGGAATGGGGGTTAAAGTCATGAGCTCTGTGTCACAAATAAGCAGCTGAACAAATGCATTTCTGCAGAAAATTTCAAAAGGCCAAAAATACAATAAAATCAACCCTGTTTCTATTTTCCTGCCACATTTCTAATTTAACCATTGAAAATGTGACTGCTGAATATATCTTTATATTCAAAGGGTTGTACATTGCTGTTGTCTTCTCTGCCCAGGGGCTCCTCCTGTGGTCCGGCTCTTGTCTCCCCTCCTGGGGGAGGGAAATGCTCTTCCTTGGGAAACTTGGTCCATCCAGAAGCTGTGACCTGGAAAGAAGAATCCAAGTATGGAAATAGCTACAGTTCCCAGTGCAATTGCATTGCAGCAACTGTTCCTTATGGAATATTCAGCTTTGCTACTTAAAAGACAACGACTGCCATCACCAAAAAAGACAGGCTCTTGGGTTAAACTGAACAGTTTCCATCAACATAAGTTTTGGGTGGCAGTATTTGAAGGAAAAGAAGCAACAGTAACTATAAACACCTGTGGCAATTCTCTGATATCAGGTCACTTGGGATCCACTGGATTTCATGGCTTGGGAGCACAGAGAACTTCACTCTCTGTGTCGAGTGCAAGGTGGCAGCTTAAATTTGTAGCATGTCAGTCTTCCTTGTGGAAGAAAAGGGACTGAGAATTCCCATCCCATCCAAATGGGACCTCAGGAGGTATTCAAGCAAGGACAGAGGTAATGGGGTTAAAGCATAACACAGACCTCAGGGTATTTGGTAACCACTGCAGGGGACTTCAATGGGATGCTGTTTAGAAGACAAAAGGGGTAACACTCCAAATACCATCCTGAAGAGATGTAAAGAATAGTAAGTAAATAATAAAAATAGTCATGAGTAGTATGCAAAGAGAAACATCACATATTACACCCTGCAAAAGATGACTTGTTAGATCCTGGTAGTTTCTGAAGGCCTCCAAGAAAGATAAAGCTTTACAGCTGAGATTTGACACAAATGAGACTCCTCCCAAAATCTCTTCTCACAACTCACGGTGTTAAATGGAAGTGTATGTTGAACACAAGCAGTTTCACTTTGCGTACACGGAGCAAGCAAATCTGCTCTCTGAAAAAACGTTATACACATAGTCCACATCCTACATTTACTCTGGCAGCTGCACAGCAACCCAGCAGCAGGCCATTTCCCAGCATAAAGACAACGCTTGCATTGTGCTAAGAAGCCCTCAAGAATACAGTAGATGGTATCTTCTGGGATGGCGCCCTGTGTTTTCCAAGAGTTGTCTCAAGGCAGTAGCTATTACAAGACACTAAATAAAACCCTTCTATTTGTAAATTAGAAAGAAAAAGCACAACTCGCTGGTATTTGGTTTAGGACTGAGTGGTTCGCACAGTGCTTAAAGAGCATTTTAGACAAAAGCAAGTTTTCTGCCAAGCATTTGAGGGGAAAGAGAAAATTTCTGCTTTGGTGTTTGAAAGCAGTTAAAAACCAGGATGACAGGGCAGCCTGGCACTGCTGCCCACAGCGAATGAGCTGTGCATCCAGCTCTTCACAAGCAGGACTCAATTTGTCTTCATTCTACCCAGTTCAGTTTCTACAGCTTTACCCTGGAGTCAAATTCCTGCTCCCACAGCTCCCTGCAATTGAAGGTGACAGAGACGAGGAGGGAATACAGCCAACTTGTAGGCAGCGAGTGCTTTCTACGCAGCGTAACCATGAAAGAATGAGCTAGACTAAATACAAGTATCATAGCTGTGCAGAAGAGCCTTGTAGCTGAAGGCTGATTTACAAGGCAGAGTTGACTGGGCTTTAAGCATCTTCTCCCCACTCCTCAATCATCTCCCTTGCACTCACCAAAGCCTAACAGGTCATCGCTGTTGTCCAGCAATCGAGGATTTTTCATGCAACTGCTGCTAAGCATGTGCTGACACAAGACATGCACTGCTCATCTCACTCCTACAGAGAGAGGACAACAGGTACTACTGTCATACAGATACACAGAGATTTTCTATAGCTAAAATAGCAGCCAAGAACTAGCACAATGTGCTTTAAGCCTCTTTTTTTTTTTTTTTTTTTTTTTAACAAATAGGGTATCAAACTCACTGGCAGAAACAGCAGAAGGTTCTAATTGCTCCAGCTGATGCTTTTCAGAATTTGTTTCTTTTGCAAGGCACATACTACCTGGTAATAGCACCCCTTCCCTCTTCTGAAGGGCTTCTGTAGATATAGATATATAGATATAGATAGATTATATCTATATATCTATAGATTATATAGATATAGATAGATATATTCTGTAGATAGAAAAGGTGAGGAAGACATTAAACGCAAAATTCGAAGAGGGCAGAGAAAATAGTTCAGCTGTGCAGATTAGAGAACTCAGTGGGTATATCTGTTGTTACCAACAGAAATACTCTATAGACCACAGGTGGAAAAATACCATCGTAAACTAAATGATCCGTGAAAAATAGACGAGAGCAGCAAGATTAAATTCACCTATGACCCTACATCTCCACTGGAAAATTAAGTGGTGTGCAGATGAAAGGAGCCCAAGAACTACTAATCTACAAAATCAAAAGTTATACTATTTTTATTACACTCATTACCTGCTTAGATGAATCATCTTCACATCATCTTGCAGTTTTCATTACGAGTTGTTAACTCCCAGGACCTTTGGATTATGTTCTCAGGTGACCACTGTCCAGGTGCTGCTGGGCTGCATCCGGAAGGAATAGCTGCTATTCCCTATTCCCACCTCTGCCAAGCCAACTGAGTAATCACTGATTCAAACGGCTCTGCATCGCAAGAGGGACAGAAGTGGTACTGAACTTCAAACCAAGCTTGAAGTTGCACTAAGCTGAAACTTTCCTAACCACAACAAGAGAACAGTTGGCACCATCAGAACTGAGCTTTTTCCACTTAACTCTCCTCATTCTCCTCAGTGTTGGAAAACACAGCATTTTGTACAGGATCTTGGAATTCCTGCATGAACCATCTTTTCTTATTAAGGACAGATGTTTCTAGTAGGGGGCATCTTGCACCGAGGCAAAGCTCTACTCCAGGCTTATGGTCACAGTAAAGTCTCCCAACTCCTCTTCCCGTTCCCCTCCAAACCGGCACCTTTTAGACAGGGACTCAATACTCCCTCACTTGTGGCAATGGGAAAGCTGGTCTGGGAGCAGACTAAACTCGTTCCTACCAGTGTTTTACCCTCAAAACTCAGCTCCCCAGGAGACTCCAAGTCCTCAGGGTAAGGTTTCAGCACTAGTGTTTAAAAAGACAGCTTTTGAATATGCACTTTTTCCAGCAAAAAGTTACCTTTACTACTGGAAAATTCCCTGCTTCTCCCATCACCACAATTCTTTCCAGAATAAATTTTCAAGTACAACATTTTGTTTATTGGAAATTTATACATCAGCGAACAGCCAATTTTGTGACAATTCTTTAGAGCCAAATGTGAAGGCTTTAAAAATAAGCTTGGCAATTTCTCAGTTTCTTTTTTTAAAAAGCCTGTTCCACGGGGCCAACGCTGCTTCCACCAACATCCACGAGACTTTCGTCCCTTGAGGCAGAACCCTGACCTAAGTCCAAAAGTAAGTTTGTAGCTGATGCACATGAAAAGCACACATTTTAAAATCCTCTCATCATCTCTCTCTCTCTATAAAAATCACATCATCTCTCTATATATAAAAATACGCCTGGGACAGATGATTGCAGATCAAGCACTCGCATTAAGCCACAAAACAATTTATTGGATATTCTCAAATTCTTCGTACAATTTTGTCGTGAAATGAGCACAACACATTTGTGTATTACCTTTAATCTTCATTTCAATCATCAAGTTAAATTTGAAAAAAATTGGCATTACATTTAATGGCATCTTCAATAAATAAAATGACAAAAAAAATCTAATCTTTGCACAGACACAGTACAATCCACTCCAAATTCGATATTGTCAAAAACCTTTCCCAAAAGCTTGCTCTATTTTTTTTTTTTTTTTTTTTTTGGTTTCTGCACTTAAATACACAGGAAAGAATATGTCGAGAAAAGAAATCATCTATTCTGAGCAGAACTTGTAAAAAATACAGTATTTTAGAAATAAAAGAAATTATCTCTCTAAGAGCAGAGAATCCTGTTTGAAGTTTTTCTGGAAAAATCCCGATTTTAACCTTTCTATCAAAAATGTAGTTTCACTGGATCCTATCCTACGTCAGTATATTTATACAGCAGGAATTAAATTCCATGATCCTTAAGGGAAAATTCATAAAGGGAAAGCAGTAGCCTCCTAAACTCACAGAAGTAGCCATGGTCTGTATTTTCTGTAGTAGTAAAGGTGGTATTTGTGCTCAGTACCTTGTTTGTACCAATGCTGGACTGGAAAAAAACAGGGTCATTTTCTCTTTGCTTCTGCATCCATCTTTCCTCCCTAGTCCAACAATCCTAAGACCCTCAGTGAAATAAGACCATGCAAACACAGACCTGCCTACACGGATGGGCTCGCAGGATGAGGACCAACAGGCCTGAGGGCAACCAGAAGCTAGACTTAATTCAAGCTGCTTTGCTCTACATAGGATTTTGAAGAAAAACTGAAGATTTTTCTTCAAGAAAGATTTCCAAATTGCATTTCCCTGTATTTTACTGCATCTAATAGCATATTGCAAACCAATTACAGTGTCAGTTAATGTAGCAAAGAACACCCTATCGCTATGACTAGTTGAAATGCTCATATTCAAACCTTGCAGGGTTTGCTTCAATGAAAAATTAACTTAGGGTGTGTAAGGAATGCATGATTTGCCCCCCACAGACCTATGTGGATTAAAGCCATATGGGGAAAACCAGTTACTTTAAACAGAAGGCAGAACTATTCCACAAGTGTGCAAACATTTAAAAAACTGTTTCAACTACTGATGCTGACTGTACCTTCCTGCTCAAGAAAATGCAGGAAAGAAGGACCCGATCTGTTTACAGAACTTTTTAATGCAGATTTTTTCCCCCAGCTGACCACATCTTAACAAAGTGCAATAATTTACAATACCCTTTCAAACAAACAGCTATTAAAATTACACAATTTTAGGGAAACAAACTCACATGTTTAACCATAAAAATGTTTCTCCAGGTAATAAACTTTAAAGTATTCAGTAACACAGTATTTCGATAATAATACAGAAAATGCTTTCCACTGGTTACAAAAGACACAATCAGAAGATTATTTATTACATACTATTTAACAGTTGTTCCACCTCGTAAAGACCATGCTATAATTAAGAACGTAATTATCATCCTAAATAAATGAGTACAGAGACACTGACCTGACTTTCAAACAACATTCTTTTGCAAAGACAAGTAAGAAGCCAGGGCCATGTTATCCAGGTACTCAAGGCCTTATGACAGTTTAAACCCAGAATTTTAAGAAAGCACCACTTTCTATTAAGTACTTTGTATGCCTACTGCTAAACAGCACATAAATACGTTTGTGATAACTGCTAAAGCAGATTCTCATACTACATGTAGTTTGATTCTCAGAATTCAGGTTTGGAGGTAACTGGGAAATGAGTGGCAAAATTATACTTGGAAAAAGAGCATCTCCTAAATTTGGTCCAAACATCCAAAAAAGCAAGGACACACAGGTCCCTCATTGCTGTTTACCCAATCCTAAAAAAATAAAATGTGTATGGCAATAGGGTTGCCCATGAAAAGCACGGAACTGTGACAGGATAAGCAGTCTCTTCAGAGAGATGTTTTAACCACGTATATTTCTGCTGTGCGAATAACTGAACTAAAATTAATGAGGAACCCTTAAATTTGTCTATTATAGCCATGAGAAATGATTTCCTATTTAGATAAACAAATTGATTTCTACCTACTTTTCCAATCATCACTGACTGTGTGAAATAAACTCTTAAAATAATTACAGAGAGTGGACTGCAGTAGCAGCTATCAAGCAAAATTCAAGCACAAGTTTAAGGCGAACCTTCAAGCTGGGAACTAGCCTTCTTTTTCAAAAATTTGTACAACTTTTTCAAACACCTAAAAGGAGAAAAACAATGGTTAATTTTATGAAGTGTTAAGTAATCGCTTAAGTCAAGTTAAACCAACAGAAAAAGTAACTGATGCTATTTTTGAAATGCATAACATGTAGCATTAATGTATATATGAACATAATGTATATGTATACAAATATTGCTCCATAACGTGTATGTAACATGTAATATGTATGATACTTACAACATGTAACATGTAAACTGTCACACATGTGTAAGATGTACATTGTATGCTTTTAGCACGTAACACGTAACATGTTTTAAGCATGTAACACAAAACATGTTAGTAACATGTATGTTCCTAAAATGTTTTTGCATGTTCTCTGTTTTAAGCATGTAACATCTATGTTGAGAGTTTTACTATGTAAAATGCATGTTTTAGCACGTAACATGCTCTTAGCATGTTTTGGCATGTTGTATGTCCTTAGCATGTTTTTGTGTGTAACACGTTCTTAGCATGTTTTGGCATGTTGTATGTTCTTAGCATGTTGCATGATTTGGCATGTAACATGATCTTCGCATGTTTGGCATGTTGAATGTTCTTAGCATGTTTTGGCATGTAACCTATATCTTATGTTTCACATGTAACTTGTATGTTGTATGTTTTAAGCATGTAAAGTGTATTTTGCATGTTTTAGCATATAGCATGTAACGTGTTTTTAGCATTTAACATTTATGTAACATGTATGCTTTATGGTTTTAGCATGTAACTGTATGTAACATGTTTACGCATGTAACATGAACGTTGTGTATTTTAAATATGTAACATTTACGTAACATGTAACATATATGTAACATGTATGTTGCATGTTGCATTTGTGTCAGTGTCTCTCTACCTCCAACAGTCGAGGTATATGAGGACTCTACATGATGAATGTGGATTATATACTTACCTCATCAACAGATTTAGAGGCATCCACTTTTCTGACTTTCCCCATTCTCTCATACAAGTCTATTATAGGCTTTGTAGACTGCAGGTATGTATGAATTCTAGAGAAAGCAAAGGGGAGTTAGAAATTATTACATAATAAAAAAAAAAAAGAAAAAATAGAAAAAGGAAAAGAGAAGTGGGTATGTTACCTCTTTTCCAGACTCTCGCGATTATCATCACTCCTACCACTGCTCTTTCCCCTTTCAAGACAGCGACCAACACATATCTACAAATAAGAAATCCAAAGGATCATCGCAAGAAATAACAATGTGCACTCTAAAAATACAAAGAAAACAACCCCCCCTGAATTTAATACAGATCTTCAAAAAATATTATATAAGCAGGATATAAAATACTGGATAGATCTGACTTGCATAACTTTGAATTCATGACAGCCTTACAGTTCACCAGTTACAGTAACTGGTGCTCAAAAACATGACTGAGGCCAGGAAAAATAAAAGCTAAATCTCCAGCTTTGTAGGGTAACCTGGTGACATTTAAAAAAGAGAAACATTTGACTTCCATGGTGCGTTTAAGCTTTCTAAAAAGCATTAGTATATGCCTGAGGGGAGGAAAAACCAAAACATCTAAAACTACCACTACCAGATGCTCTCCCAAGAATTCATGTAAGGTTATATATTAAATTTTTAGGAGTTAAGCTGTTATTACTTGATGCTGCTCTAATTAATTTTTTTTTATCTAAATAAAAAATTAATTGTAACTATATTTAAACTACCAAATGAACTCAGGGAAGTGGGACAAAGGATAAGAGGAAGAAAGTCAGTTTAAGGCTTTGCGATTCTTGCATCTGTTTCTGTCCCTCACGGGCAAAGACATCTTAAAGAGAAAGCATAGGATGGCACTTGTTAAATGTATATAATGTATGCCTGTCAAAATGCCCTTGTAATCTTGTAATGACTTGCTGAGTAAAATGTTGATTATTATGTGTTCTAGCAGAGCTTACTGCTGTGAAAATTAAGACTTAGGCTGCCGGCACTTCAGAACTGAACAGTGATAATGAACAGTGAACAGTGGTAATGAACTGACTTCACATTAAAAAACAGAGTAGATAGAATAATGTTTTCTGAAAATTAACCAAATAATTGTTTAAATGTATATACAAGTATTTATTTTAATACAGTTTTATAAGAATACAACTGTTTGAAGTACTTGTTCAATAGAATTTATTTGTACAAAATTTTATCAGGGATAATTAATAACTTGCTATTTCAAAATCATGCAGTTTTCCATCCCCTAAAACACAGTTACAGATTCCTGAAACTCAGACCTGAGTCTTCCTCCTACACTTACACCAGTCCATTAACACTAACAAAACCACTGTTTTATTGTTCTCCTTGAATGATTCTCATAATAAAGCAAGTAAGGAAGTTACAGAACAGCACAATTCATTACCTCATTGTCACAGTCAAAAAAGAGAACAAAAGAAACATCTGCCTTTCCATCCATGGTCCTATTCCAGCCTTGAAGATTATCCTCATTTCTGGGAAATCCATCAATCAAGAACTTGTTCTTTTGGGAATTGGCAGCCATTGTTTGATCCATAGCCTGATGAAGATAATTCAATTCAAGGTCTCTTGCACGTAAAACTATTCTTCTGCTTATTAAGTTCCCCCCAAAATGTTCAAACGGAAAGCTAGGAAACTTATCAGGAAATCATTGCAAATGTTATAAAAAAAAAAAAAAAAAAAAAAAAAACCAACTGTTATCTTCGAGGCATTTTACTTATTTTACTGATGCACTAACATAGACTTCTTTCATACTGAATTCATTACTTTATATGGCTCAAATTTGATGACACACACAATCATAGCCTTAAAAATTTATGTTCCCCGAGATCCTGGAATGTGTTCTTACAGAACAGAATGTGCCAGTGTGCTCCGGGTCTAGAGTTAAGTCTAAAGCGGAAAAAAAAAAACCACTTCAGCAAAACAGAGTTCCATGAGCAAGAGAAGTTCCTCCAGCCTCCTGGTAGATATTCCGGTGGGGATTTGGATATCTAATAAGGATAAAAGCCAAGCTATTCCTTTGGAGGGAACATTAGCTGATGCTGTTCCCTTTACTTGGCTGTCCAGTTTGAGTAAACTTACAGAAACCTAATACCTTTAAGGCCTCTAGTCTTTAATCACAACACAGTTGAGTTGACCAACAGGTTCAAAAGCTAGTTGAGAAATACAGAGCTACACAAGAATACGTGCATTGGCTCATTTCTTTAAAAGTCCTGTTCTCATTAGGTATCATACGTCATCACCTACCCGTTGCTTTCCAGTGAGTGACAAGCACGGGACAAGCACCTACGTGTCTGTCATTTTCTCCTACTCGCACGGCTGGGCGGGCAGCCCTTTGGGAACGTGCCCACTCCTTTGCTGCTTAGTCCACAGCAGTAAATCAGCAAGGAAATTGCCCTGTCCTTACCCTCTTCAACAAGCTGATTGTTATTTCCACCGGTACGATTTCACCCTCCTTAATGTAGTTCTCAATGAGCTCTCCATACTGTGAGCCTGGCCTTTTTCGTTCGTCTCGAAGGAGGTCCCCAGCAGAAAGGTGTGTGTAGCCATATTTCTGAAACACAAAAAAAATGAACAGACATAAACACTCTCGAATACACACACACACAAAGTTCTCCCAGTCGGTAGTATCAGCCCCATGATCTCCCTAACACAAGAGAAGCGGACTTGGAAGATCAACTTGCTAGCAACAGATCTGTTTCATCTCCATAAAGGCTGAACAGGATACAAATTCCTGGAAAAAGAGTCAAGGTTAATTTGCCCACAGACACAGCCCATTTTCAAAAGTAATGCTGACATCTTCAATAGGGAGACAGTCTCAAAGTCACCAAAGTGCTTCTTGGAATGCTGTGCTGTGTTATTGGACATTTAGGGATCACCAGACTTGACAAAACCTACATTGCATCCTAGCAGTTCGACCACTTAAAGTGTTTAAGTGGTTATAAGTTACCGGATAAAGATAGAGTCTGCAAACAAGTAATAAAGACATTTCATTGGTGATTACCTATATGCTAGTTATACAACTAAGAACACAAGACAAATTAAACATACAGATAACTGGGCTCAAATTCTAAAACGGCAGGATCAAAAAAAAAAAAAAGCCTTGATGGGTATCAGCCTGGCTACAGCGATAATGCCCCCAAAAAATAAAAAAGAGAAGGAGCCTGAGCACCATAATAATGGGATTAAACACCTTCTGTGGCTGTGAACTTGGGATTTAGAAACCTGGCTACTGGAGTAAGTACAACGGAATTACTGCACAAGCCACTAAGTAAGTTTAAAAGCATTTCAGTTACTTTCCAGTTCCACTCACAGAAGCCTAAAAGTTAGTTCTGCTACAGTTCTAATTTAAGAGAGGATATAATTACCTAAATCTCCAAAACTGTATGTAGCTGTAGAAAAGAAAAGAAAAAAAAAAAAAAAAAAAANAAAAAAAAAAAAAAAAAAAAAGCAAACAAGATTTTGCTCTAAATAACTTAAGAAAAAGCTCTACACACATCTCTTACAGCTCATCATGCTTCTGCTTACATGTGCATTGCTTTTCAATACACCTAATTTAATTGCAAATCCAAATATTTAGATACAAACTAACCAGAGTAAATCTTTTCTATAAGTATGAAACTTCATTCTGTTGAACGCTACATTAATATGTGGCTCCTCTTGCTACAATTAAAAAAAATATATTTTTAACATTATATTTCTACAAAAGAGAAAACAGGAGACAAAAATAATCCCGTAAGTTTTAGAGGATTACAAAACCATTTAATTTTCCTCAGCATTTTCCTTTTCATGCATGAAAAGGAAATTGAGTCAGACAATCTTTGGAATTCTGTCCCTTAGCAAACTAAAGCAGTTTTGAATGGCTGAACAGGAAAGCAATAGTTAGAAGCATTTTAAAGTGCTGCTGTATAAATAGATTTGTTTTAAATAACCATAAATTGTATTCAAGAGTAACTTTCAGAACGGATTAATCAGGCTATAAGAAAAGACAAACTGCTCCTTGAGAGCTGAATGGCAAAATATCTATTTAATGAGTACAAGAGGCAACGACAACATGTCAGTTTAAATAACACAAATAAGCAAAGGAGAGATGCTTAACTCATCTGCAGTACTCATCTTATTCTTGCCAGTTTTAATCAAGCCATGTGTAGAGGGCCCTTATAGTTTTCTTTCATCTTAGGCAAGATAAGCCCTCAGCAAGTGCCCTGGAGAGGGCTAAATCTTAACATCCTCAAGAGCTGGTAAAAGAGACTGTGATGTTATTGAGCAACAACCTCAAAATACTCTCTCATCTTGCTGAATTTTGCACTGTGACAACATGACTTTCCTTACAAGCCAAGCACATCTTGATGCAACCCCCAGATCAGGACCTATTGCAACCCCTGTCCAATTTTGCTTCTTTGAAAGCAGAAAAGGGCTCACTTCCACATGTAAAAACAAACAAACTAAAAACATTTTCTCCAATTCTTTTAGTATACATATAAATGATAGATTCATAATGCCTGCTGATAACTAAAAGGAAGACTCAAAATATTTTTCTCTTTAATTCAAGATATTTGGATGCCAAGTTGCCTAAAATCTGGAAAGATTTTTAGATATTGAGAGGAAAAAAAATCTATTCTAAATGTATCTCAGAGAGTGGTTTCCACTATGCTAGTTGACTAGAATGTTCTTTTATAAAACAAAAAGATTACACTGACAAGTTGCTACTATACAGGTTGATCTTGTTATTTCCAAAACTGTTTCTGTTTGCAGAATCATTATCCCAGTCCATTGCAAAGATTAATAATGCATGAAAGACAAATCAACTGTTTTCAGCACCCTTGTAAACATCTTTTGTTTTGAAAGCCACAAGGGAGTGGAAAGGCAAGCTTAAGTTTTTTACAATCCCGTGACAGACAGGAACAGCACTTAGCAGTACTGCACGAAGCAGAGCAGACCATGGTTTGCTTATTCTTCCTGTTAAACCAGTCCCCACCCAAAAGAGCAAACAGGGATATGTAGGTGGTAACTCCACGTCTCCAAACTCAAAACCTGCAGTATCCTGGAATAATGTCATCTCTCCGTGTGCTGCAGCCACTTCTATCTGCCTTCTGTGAGCCAGGACTTGCAACTTCCACACCTCGGACAAAAATGCTTTGCTTCCAGTAAATACGATAAATAAAGAATATAAATGAAAATATGAGTCACAGTTGTGCAACGCCTGAATAAAGCAAAGTCTGCTCTATCAAATTTCTCAACGCACTGAGAAAGGATCACGGAGTGACGCAGCTGCTGCTGAGGCTCCTCGCAAAGCAAGGTTTGTTTGGTGAGAGGTTTATTTCTGATTCAATCCCCTGTGGTCCAGCAACACATCAATGCAGCCGGCATGCAGTTCAGAACTTATTTATTTAGGTGAGCAGAAGTCAAGGAAAAGCAAGAGAAACAAGTTATTACTTTGACCTCGACTCCTATCTTGACTTATCATAGTTAATCAGAAAATGAAAGTCAAAGGGCTTAAGATTTAAACAAACAAAACAGGCTTTTATTGCCTCAGTTCTGGTTTGCCATATGTCAGGCAACCTTAATAAACAACTGAAATTTGCCACAAGTTCCAAGATACACCAATCAAGAACAAGTTTAAATGCTGCACAGTCTATAGCATGAATATTCTAAAAATAAAACAAAAGACCTTTGTCTGTCTTGCTAGCAGTTACCATGTGGAATAACCTTAGGCTGCAATGTAGTAACAGAGGTGCTTTCTGCTTAGTCAAACAAACAAACAAAAAAGAAATAAAAAATGAAAAAACAAACACAGTTAATGTAGTCACACAAATAATTTTGGACTCTCCCTAATCTATGTACAGTAAGGAAGCCTGCATGGTATAAAAGAGAAGCACATAGGATAAATCTTGAACACCTACAAACACTTACCATGTTTCAAAACAGCCCTAAAGCTCAATTTACGAAACAATAATGAGAACCTAAGGGAAAACACACTGATAAGACTTGATATTCTTGGAAGAGAGTTCAAAAGTTTTTTTTTTCTTCCAAAAGAAGTTAACTCTTTCCCTGCAGACGATAAGCAAGGGCAGCCAAACCTAAGTCAACTGCCACTTTCAAAGTACAAGTGTTCTCCTTTGCTTAGTTTTCTTTACTCTAGGAAAGCTCCTTATCATATATCCCATTGTAACTTAACACCTTGCATTGTGATAGTGATGTATATCCTCGCAAAAGGAGAAGATTAAGCATCTTACCTTGTGGGATTACTTTAAATTTCAAGACAAATACACAGCATAGTGTTGTGGTGGAAATTAATTATATTTTGGCTACACAGAGACAGGGACGTCTTGCATGGCTAACATTCTTACAAAACAGCCTTGTTTGGGGAAAAAAATACACAGCTGAAATGTTGTTTGGGATAAACGCAAATAGCTGTTATTCTTTTTTCTCTGAAGAGCTTTGTGTTACATGCAAAACTTCTTAACATTTATAACTTAACAACTGCATACTTTGTACAGATTTGAGGCAGAATAGAGTTTACTTGCAGGATAATTATGGCAAACTCAAGAAAACAAGTAAGTTCACAAAAGAGCAGCAGAAATATTCAATGTCCTATACACATGCATAGGACTATCAAAAGCAGTAAGGTTATTGCGAGAGCCTGCGTTCAGGTGACAAGATCCAACAACCTGCTCGATTACTTTGGCGCATGCAACAAGCTGTGCAACAGTTTCACATGATGTTAAACTCCACACAAGCCTGTGGCAGAAGGTTCAATTTGACGATTTGGAGAATTTAAATGGAAGGAATGAGACATAAGGAGGGAATTCTACTTTCATCTCTTTCTACACAGGGTAAATTGGCACAGAGAAGCAATTATGCCAAATCCGGATTCAGTGAGAAATCTGTGAATTCTCAGAACAGACACAGAAATCTGCGTATCAGAGGAAACTCTGCTGGTTCAAGTGTCTCTTCGACCCTTACCCATGGCAATAGAGAATGCTCATCACTTACCTGTTGTTCTCTTTCGTACACTATGTCAATATCCATTTCTGCTCCTTACTGCATCTTGCTCCCTCAAATCAGCCCTTCATTTTAGTCCAAGCCTGGCAGGAACACCTGCCTTCTGCAGAACTAAGAACCCCAGCTCACACATACTACGTTCTTATGATTTAGGCTAATATTAGCAAACACACTATTTTGCCTAGTCAACTTCTTTTTCTCAATATTACAACATAATCAGCAAAACAATAATATTACTTCTTTGCAAGACTGTTGTGAGGTAACTTATAATGCCCCTTATTCCACAAACCACTTACAGTTACCCTTGTTTTTAAGCAAAATCAGTTTAAGCTAAAATCATACAAGATCTCATCTGATTAGAGGTGATGGGATGTATTCTCCTGTACGTAGAGCAATCCAGAAATATTTATAGCTCATACTGACTTATTTTGTTGAGCACAAACTTAATATTTACAGCAAGGTACCAGGTCAGATTCACTCCAAGCATAAACTGATACAAAATGGTCCATTTACAACAAGTATGAATGGGGTTTATTATTACTCAACTACAGCCTCTTTTCTTCACCCTTCTCTGTGGCAAGCTGCCAGCAGGGGTTAAAATCCAAACAAAAATACACTTCCCACCCAAAGGCAGCACTGAGTACATAAAGACTATTCAATTGCCTGCATTAGGCTCTTTAGGGGGTGGTTTAAGAGACTAAGTAGGATGTGAGCTTGAAATAAAAACAAATAGGTGTTGGTCTCCCCAGCTACACTGCATCCACATTTCCTTGTTCATGCTCTTGCAGGAAACGTTTTCCACCAGGCTGCAACCAGACCAACGTTCACTTCAGCTACCTGAGCCCTTCTCCCTCCAGGCTTAGGCAGCTTCTGCAAAGCTGGGCCCAGGCGAGCAGAAAAGCCGTCACCTCTGCCCACGCAGGGTCTGCAGGCCTAAAACTGCCCGCCCAGAACACGGGACATCAGGAACTCCTTCGTGAGTAGGGAACAGGAAGAGCAAAATTAAAGCAAACCTACTTCTTACCATCTGGATTTCCCCTTCCAGGCTTACAAATCAAATGTAAAGCAGTACGTGCAAGCTAACCCTTCCCCTCCAAACTTCATTTTTAGATGAAAATTTAAGTAGCAATGACTCACTTGAATACCTCCTACAAAAGCGATCTTTACCCAATTACATTAGCCTATCAAGTTCAATGTATTTATATTTCTAAACCCAGGGCAGTAACCACACAAGATACCTCAGCCCTGAGGCTTCATTACAGGCTCAGGGAAAGCCTTTAATGAAAGCCTACAAAATTTCCCTGCAGCTTAAGCGCATTTGTTTGCTATGTTCCAGACACCATTTGACCTTAACAAAATAGGTTCATAGCTGTCATGAAGCTTTCATCCCACAATTCAATTTGGAGAATAAGGTGGTTTGAATGACAGCATATAATTTGAGGTTAAAAGCCTTCAGAGCTTGAGCTATAAAGGCATTTTTTCAGTCTGGCCTAAACGCACAGGGCCAAGTTGTGCAGCGGTGAGGGCTGGGATGTAACGGCAGCGGCACCACCAGACCCGGACACACAGAACGTGCCTGTGCTGGGACCTGTGGCTTTCTCCAACGGGAGTCCCAGGAACGTGGGCGTTGCTGCAGCTCTTAGGCATTTCTCTAAGTGGAGGTAGGGCTAAGCCTCAAATCCGCAAAGCTTTCAATTAAAAAAAAAAAAATTGTTCCGGAAAAAAAAAGTCTAAATCCAACATATATGTGCTGCAAAGCGTTAAGCCTTAATCATTTTTGCGACCATCCAACAAAATACAAGGCAATTACGACTTTTCCACACCACCTACGTATCTGACCTTTTTTCAGGCAGTTGCTCTGAAGCAAAATACCACCAAGATCTTCAGATGCAAAACAAAATCCAGCACAAGGTGTTCTCACCCTGACTTTCGAAACGCCTATTTTAGATGCTTTGACAAGAATTAGACAATTTCCTATAGGTTGACGGTATGTTTTAGCTTCCAGTATATTATTTTACAGAAGCAGATTTCGGGTTTGAAGATTTAAATAGCGCTGCTTACGTGGTGCTACCGGCTCAGAAGGGCCACCCGTGGCCGCGTGCCCTGTGTCGGTCCTCACGGTTAGCAGACGCACCCCACACCACACGGACCTTGACCCTGCAAGTCACGCAGGCGCGGGGAGCCCCCGGGATCCCGCACCCCGCTTCCCGGCGGGATCCCCCCCCGCCGCCTCCATCCGCGGGGCCTGCGGGAGGGCGGCGAGGGGCCCGGGCCGCGCTCACCTCCACGATGCGGGCGCACTGCGTCCCCTTGCCCGCGCCGGGCCCGCCGAGCACGAACACGACCACGGGCTTCATGAGGAGGCGCAGGCGGCGGCGCAGCAGCAGCAGGACCGCGGCGGGGCCGGGGCACGGAGCGAGGCCGGGGCCGGGGCCGAGGCGGAGCCGCCGCCGCCACCACCGCGCACCGGCGCCCGCGCACGGAAACTGCTTCCGGTGGCGGCGGCGCGCGCGCTCCCGCCCCGCCGGCGCTTCCGGGGGGAAACGGGGGGTTCCGGGCACGGGAAGAGCCCGCCCCGGGCCGGGCTCGTGCGGCTGGGCCGCGCCTCGCGCACACCGGCGCCCTGCCGCGTGGCCGCGCCGGGTGCGCGCTGCCCACGGCGGGCTGCGGGACCCGCTCTGGGCTCCGCTTCAGCGGTCACGGGCCCGTGTGAAAGGCAGGGCGCGGAGGACACGTTTATGTCTAATTAGCGGCTCCATCGCCGCGGCCGAGCTGCATCCAGCTGCGGATCCAGCCCGCACCGCTTCACGGCCTTTCCCCCCAGGAGCGAGGAGCGGCTCGCCTCTCTCCGGGCCCTGGGCAACGTGGCCGCCACGCAAGCGGCCCCCGCGCGGGAGCAGCCGCCACCGGAACCCGCGTGGGCGGCGCCGCCACCAGCCGGGCCGCGGACCGAAGTCTTGGCGGGGCGGCCCGGCCAAGACCGCGGCCCGGCCCGAGCTGGCGGCGGGCCCGGACAAGCGCCTTCCCTTCCGGCCTCCCCTGCCGCCATCGCGGCTCCCTGCCGCCATCGCGGCTCCCGCCGCGCTGCCATGGCAACCGCGCCGCGGCCTCTGCGCCTGCGCGCCCGCAGCCCCGCCCCCTTGACCGTTTATGAGAACGCTGCGTTTTTAAATCCCCAGCGCGCGCGCGCTGACGGTTGGACCGCGAGGGGCGCGGTGTGATTGGTGGAGCGCGCGGCTTCCCCCGCTCCCATTGGGCGCCAGTGGGCGGAGGAGGCGGGAGCGCGCTTAGTTGCGCTTCCCCATTGGTCGCAAGGGCCTGGCGGCGCGCGGGGGCGGGCTGGGAGAGGCGCCGGAGCGCGGCGGGCTGAGGCGCGCGGGGCCGCTGCGGGAGCGGCAGCAGGTGAGACGGTGCCCGGGGCCTCCCGCCCGCAACGCGGCCCTCGGGAGAAGGGGCCGCCCCGCAGGGCCCCGCCGTGGCGCTCGGGTCGCGCTGCGGGCACCTGGCGGGTCGTTGCGCTGGTGCGCGGTGGCGAAACCCTCCTGGCGCCGCTGGAGCCCGCTTAGGCGGCGAAACGTCCCCGGGCGCTCCTGCTGCTCGCAGAGGAAGCTCTGTGCGGGGAAACGGTCGTGAGATGTCGGCCAAATGTTCAGCATTTGACCTAAAGTTAACGAGGGCTTTAGAATCCTGTTTGTGTAGGTCAGTTTGGGACTGTAGCCTTAATTTCTTGAGGTCAGGCTGGGGTGTGATCACAGCCTGTGAATTACCTTGTTTGACTCGGTATTTTAAATGTCTTTGCAACTTAAGGAACGACTGCTGGCTGTAAATATGAGTTGAGGCTGCAGGGGGTTGGCTAGCTGACCTAATATCACCTAATTTCATGAGTTTCTGTGTCTTGCAAGCTTGTTTTTTGGCCTATATGCTTTTAGGATCATGTGAAGGAACTGTCCAGGGGAATGGCTGTGCCCCGCTCTCTTTGTGTTTCATATCCTTGACAACTTTGTAGAGCAAAGTTTCGGCTTCGGTGATTGGGTCTTGGAACAGAACAAACAAAAAACCCTTAGGTCGCCTCTTTGTTTTTACTGTTAGTTTACTTGGTGCATTTTGATAAATGGTACAGGAAAATACTAAGTTAAATCTGCTTTCCTTTCTTTTCTTCACTCTCTTCTCCCCAGATTTGTCCCGGAAAGGATGGTCCCATTCAGTTTTCCGTTGTCTAAATGTGCCCTCTGGGATCCTGTCCCTATGGGAGATGTCATTGGTTCACATATCAGCTATTACAGGTATAAATAACTTCTTAAGGCGAATAATGTATAGATCATGAGTTTTGAGTCATGGTTTATTTTCCTCATTTGAGCCCGTGGTAAGGGATATAAAACAACAACAGTCAATATCTCTATGAAAAACACAAGCGTGTTCATAAGTACATAGGGCTTTTCCTTGGAATTACTTGAGGATTTCACTCTGGGAATGTGTCACACTCATTTGAGTTTGAGGTGCCCCATGCTTTCCTTGTCTGTGCCTGCTTTTCCTTGTCTGCGAGCAAGAATGTTTATAACAGTTGAATACAAATAGCATGTTTCCAATATGAGTCCGTTAGTCCTAGATTTAGTTAAAATTAGCTACTAGATTTCCACTAACTTAAAAATGTTGTTAATGACTTATTTTTCTGCAGGTGCATGTTCTTGTGTTATTGAGACCGCCTAAAAAGAGTCTTTGCATTGTTAAGCATCTATACTAAATACTCTGCTAAAATGAAAGAACTCTGTGTTAAAATTAGTTAGGCTTTTTTTGACCATTGTGTTATTTTAATAGACTTCTTAAAGGTTTTGTGTTAGTTTCCAGCTTCCTCCTCCTATTAAGATAAGTCATAGTTGATAAATCTCTATTTGTTCTTGTAACCATGATGCCCTTTAGCTGAAAAAGCTCTTCTCTTATCTCGTTATCTCTTGTACATAAAGAATTGTTCTCCCCTTTTTTATTCAGCTAAATTTTTTTGTTGGAATGATCTTGCAGTGTGTTCTGTTCTAGTTACTTTTTTTTCTCAACATTAATGATTCAGGACATACACAGAATATGAGATAAAATTCCAGTGAAATTTTATAAATATTGCTAACTTATCCCTTTCTGCTGTTAAGTACGTTAGGCTTTTCTGTGTACTTTCTTTTTATAAGACAAAAATCCTGGTAGTTCTTGCAATTTATAAAATCTTCCTGTATGATTTAAAAAAAGAAATGAAAGATTAGTGTTAAACTTGCTCATTGTCTTTCCTTAGAAACCCAAAGTTATCCGTAATGGAGAAGACACTGCGTCTTGCCTATCGTCATGCTAAGCAGAATGAAAAGCAATTGTTTTCCTGTTTTTTACTTGGAACTCTTTTAGTGGATGAAGGTAACTTAAAAAATCGGAGAGGCAATAATGGGTGGCTAGCAAGCAGTTATTTGACACTCAGGAATTTTGGTATGATTTTTTTATATTTATTTTCTTTGTAGATGGGGAAGGCGTAACAGTAACAATCGACCGTTTTGATCCCGGTCGAGAAATTGCCAGTGGATCAGGCAAAGTTCCAACTGCTGCTCTTCCTGGAGACTTTTTGATCCCATGTACAATTAATTCATGGGGACCTTCTTCAGATGACACCATAGTGCACAGTGCTGAAGATATCAGTTTGGCTTTTGAGGTAAACCTGGCAATTTCTGGTTTGTTTATTACATGCCTCAGTTTAAAACTAATCCAGGTAGCGGATTTGAGGTGGTGATGCCTGCTTGAGGTACCTACTCAATTGTGTGAAATGAACTACTTGGTGATCATTGAATATCTTCTTAGAAACTATTAAAATCTGTAATCTTCACTTATTTAAGGACCACACTTCTGGATATCAGACTAAGATCTTGCTCTCTGACCATAATTTTCTGGCTAGCTGGACCACCAAAACTAGCAAGACAAAATTAGCAACACAAAGAAGAAAAAGCTTTTTTTTTTTTTTAATGCATTACGAAGGAGGCGGAGTGGGTAAAAAGTACTGCTAGGCAAGCAACTTGCATGGAAATCTTTATCTGTGTAGGCTAAGTTGCTATATTTGAAGTGTATCTCTGTCTCCTATATTCTGTGGTAGGTGTACAGCCTTGTGAATACTCCTTCCATTCCTGTAAACATTTTCTTATGTGTACGTTTATAGTAAAAAAGGATTTTTGTTTTCCATCTAAACTTTTTTCATGGTACACATTTAAGATACAGATTTATTGAGTGCAAGTAAGTTTTACCACATCACCTTTAACTTTCTAGTTGTGTTTTGTTCTATTGGCTTCTTAGCAAGTAATTAGCTATTAGCTACTTAGCAAGTAATTTCACATTTTCAGAAGTATTATAAGTAGTATTGATATGCAAAATTTAATAAATTTTGGATGTATTTTGTACTATTACTTATGATATTCAGCAAAGCTAACAACTCTTTAGACCTGTTTTTTTTTTAAAAAAAAAAAAAAAAAACAGTACCAGCTTATTGCAGTACCAGCTATGACAGATTATTTTAAGTTTCATCTGTAATAAAAATAGTGTTGAGCTAATGAAAAGTCTCTAACTTTTTTCTCTCCTTTCCCCCAACTTCTAGGAACTGCAGCACAGTCTATGCAGTAAAGACTCCCTGGATCTTTCCAAGCTGCTCACTGTTAGAGCTCACATTGTTTTCACAGAAAACCTAGATAATCTAAATTTTAATTTTCATTGGGCTTCTATAACTGCAGCAAATATCTTGGAATACACCCCTCTGAAGTCTGTCCCAATTATTCCTACAGCCCTAGCAAGAAACTTGAGCAGTCCTATGAATATTGCACAAGTTCAAGGGACTCTTAAATGTGGGTAAGTAAAGGTTATTGCTAAAACTACCAAAGTTGTATGCCAGTTGGTTGCATTTCTTAAAACCAGAGAGATGGGTACCTTAACTAGCGCTTTGCATGTTAATAAACTAACTGGAATTAAAAGAGTATAATTTCTAATACCTAGAAAAATTTAATACAGAAACAGGGTAGAGGAAATATTCAAACTGTTCAGCAGGAGCTCCTGCTTTTGACATCAGGTGGAACAGGTGAGAGGAATAAGACATTTCTAGATAACAAAATAAGTAGTAAAAGCATCCAGCTTTTTGATCATCAGTGCTGTCCCTAAAATGAATCAGGTGAATGTTAATAAAAACTTACTGTGTTAATTAGGCTTATAAGATCATATTGGGGGAATTCTCATCATGACTCATTACCAATAGGATTACCTGAAATTATTTTACTGATCTACTCTTTAAGCGTTTACCTAGCACTCTGTTTGGAGAGGCACTTTGTAAAGTCCTCTGAAAGTTGCTCTGCATGTTTAATACGACTTAATTTCTGGATTTATTGGGGCTACCAGAATATTATGTAAATGTACATAGTAATGCTTGGATATGTAGGGAATGAAACACTGAAGAGTTCTTGTGTGGAGGAATGGTCTAACAGTTATTTTTTGCAAGCTTGCAGTATTTTCTAAA